AAGCCCCAAAAAATATACTTAAAAAAAAAAAAAAGATTACATAAAATGTCTCTCCAGGGATCCTTTCTTTAATGTTGTCAGACACTTAGACAATAAAACTGAACTTGTTGGAGGCAAAACAAGCACTTTTACTTTGATAGTGCATTTGTTTAATGTTAGATAATGTTGCGGCCACTGCAGGCCTTTTCACTAATATATTCTCCTCTAACTCTGTGAATTAAGGGTTTATTTTGACCAAAGCAGAGTTGGAACAGTAGAAAGACTAACAAAGACGGTTTTGGTGAGTTTTATTTAATTTCTGTCCCATTGTTTTGGTCTGAGATCCAGGATCAGGATCAGGATGTTAGCGAAATGTTATATTCAAAATAATATGCATGGACAATAAGTAGTAAGAAGTAAAAAGAAATTGAGACAAAAGAAATGCATTGTAATACATTTCTGGCCAATCAGACTGCATGGTGTAGTAGGACATCTGCAGTCTCCAGTCACCTTTGTACGTTACATCAGTGTCTGACCAGTGCTCAGTCACTTTGCAAGAACACAGCAGATCAGATGTTCAGCACCCTCCAGATTTAAGACTCAGATTTCAGCTCCTTGAATGGTGACACTAAAGCATGGACTATTTGAGGCCAATGTGCAGTGGACAGTTCTGTAGAGAATTTGAAAGAAGACAGCTGAGTGGACAGGGTAGCTAGGAATAGAATAATGTATTTCATGGTATCAAGTTATTACTGTTATGTTTTAAACTAACTAATAGAAAAGTCTATGTCTATCAAAATAATAAAAATATGATTGATGATAAATACTAAAATAATAATGTCACACAGAAAATTATTATATTCATTGTTTCTCAAGACATTCTCTGGACAGAAAAGACAGAAACTACATGTAGACCATTAAAAAAAATCAGTATAGTAGTACAGTATAGTACATATATACTGTATATAATACAATGCTACCAATAACTCTAACAAATATACAACAAATGTATGTTGTCATATATCTTTTTATATATTACATTACAGTAAAATCTGAATTTTGGACTGATCGTGCATTTATATTTCAATGAGCTGGTGGACGGTGATTATATTTTGAGTTAGGTACCTAATACCTGTTCAAAGACATAAAGTTTTCTCAAAAGCAAAGCCAAAGATGGTTTCATTCTGTCTCTCAGGCATCACCTTCCATCAGCATCATAAAGTAGAATACAGTTACTATGGCTTCAAAACAATCACAGCTAAAACAGGGGACTCCCTCTCTATTACACCACATGCGTACATGTACATTAGATACTCTACAACCACAGCATACGAAGAGCACAAAGCCATGACCTCTATTTAATTACAACTGCCTGTGCAGTCCTAACACTGAGGAATGCGTAGTGGTACACAGTGTGACATGAAGCTGCTAAATGCATGTCTACTGTTCATGTTACAGGATGAAGACTAATAGCTGCAGGCAGTGGTCACGGGTTTTACACGTTCGGAACGCTTCTGGATCAACGCCTGTCATGAGCAAGCTAATGCTAAGAAAGAAGCTAACATGTGATGACAGGGTTGGATACTCTTACTTTGTTAAACCTGCAACGACTGCTTTTTTGGCCTCTTGGAGGCAGCCAAGTGACCTTTTAAATGTCATAATGTTTT